TAATCCAAGGTGCAGTTAGCAAAGTTTATGGGGAGGGGGGGGAGGGAGTTAAGTTGTAGTGGAGAAAGTTGTTGTAGAGTATAGCCAGTGGTGGAGTTGGGCTCCTGGCGCCACCTGTGTTGTACCCAAGCCTGGCACCCGGCGCCACCTGCGTTGTACCCAAGCCTGGCACCTGGCGCCACCTGTGTTGTACCCAAGCCTAGCACCCGGCGCCACCTGTGTTGTACCCAAGCCTGGCACCTGGCGCCACCTGTGGTGTACCCAAGCCTGGCACCCGGGGCCACCTGTGGCGTACCCAAGCCTGGCTCCTGGCGTCACCTGTGGTGTACACAAGCCTGGCTCCTGGCGTCACCTGTGGTGTACCCAAGCCTGGCTCCTGGCGCCACCTGTGGTGTACACAAGCCTGGCTCCTGGCGTCACCTGTGGTGTACACAAGCCTGGCTCCTGGCGTCACCTGTGGTGTACCCAAGCCTGGCACCTGGCGCCACCTGTGGTGTACCCAAGACTGGCAATACTGACAACAACACACTAGTGGACAATACTGACAACAACACACTAGTGGACAATACTGACAACACACTAGTGGACAATACTGACAACACACTAGTGGACAATACTGTCAGCAACACACTAGTGGACAATACTGTCAACAACACACTAGTGGACAATACTGACAACAACACACTAGTGGGCAATACTGACAACAACACACTAGTGGACAATACTGTCAACAACACACTAGTGGACAATACTGACAACACACTAGTGGACAATACTGACAACACACTAGTGGACAATACTGTCAGCAACACACTAGTGGGCAATACTGTCAACAACACACTAGTGGGCAATACTGTCAGCAACACACTAGTGGACAATACTGTCAACAACACACTAGTGGACAATACTGTCAACAACACACTAGTGGACAATACTGTCAGCAACACACTAGTGGGCAATACTGTCAACAACACACTAGTGGACAATACTGTCAACAACACACTAGTGGACAATACTGTCAACAACACACTAGTGGACAATACTGTCAACAACACACTAGTGGACAATACTGTCAACAACACACTAGTGGACAATACTGTCAACAACACACTAGTGGACAATACTGTCAACAACACACTAGTGGACAATACTGTCAACAACACACTAGTGGACAATACTGTCAACAACACACTAGTGGACAATACTGTCAACAACACACTAGTGGACAATACTGTCAACAACACACTAGTGGACAATACTGTGGACAATACTGTCAACAACACACTAGTGGACAATACTGTCAACAACACACTAGTGGACAATACTGTCAACAACACACTAGTGGACAATACTGTCAACAACACACTAGTGGACAATACTGTCAACAACACACTAGTGGACAATACTGTCAACAACACACTAGTGGACAATACTGTCAACAACACACTAGTGGACAATACTGTCAACAACACACTAGTGGACAATACTGTCAACAACACACTAGTGGACAATACTGTCAACAACACACTAGTGGACAATACTGTCAACAACACACTAGTGGACAATACTGTCAACAACACACTAGTGGACAATACTGTCAACAACACACTAGTGGACAATACTGTCAACAACACACTAGTGGACAATACTGTCAACAACACACTAGTGGACAATACTGTCAACAACACACTAGTGGACAATACTGTCAACAACACACTAGTGGACAATACTGTCAACAACACACTAGTGGACAATACTGTCAACAACACACTAGTGGACAATACTGTCAACAACACACTAGTGGACAATACTGTCAACAACACACTAGTGGACAATACTGTCAACAACACACTAGTGGACAATACTGTCAACAACACACTAGTGGACAATACTGTCAACAACACACTAGTGGACAATACTGTCAACAACACACTAGTGGACAATACTGTCAACAACACACTAGTGGACAATACTGTCAACAACACACTAGTGGACAATACTGTCAACAACACACTAGTGGACAATACTGTCAACAACACACTAGTGGACAATACTGTCAACAACACACTAGTGGACAATACTGTCAACAACACACTAGTGGACAATACTGTCAACAACACACTAGTGGACAATACTGTCAACAACACACTAGTGGACAATACTGTCAACAACACACTAGTGGACAATACTGTCAACAACACACTAGTGGACAATACTGTCAACAACACACTAGTGGACAATACTGTCAACAACACACTAGTGGACAATACTGTCAACAACACACTAGTGGACAATACTGTCAACAACACACTAGTGGACAATACTGTCAACAACACACTAGTGGACAATACTGTCAACAACACACTAGTGGACAATACTGTCAACAACACACTAGTGGACAATACTGTCAACAACACACTAGTGGACAATACTGTCAACAACACACTAGTGGACAATACTGTCAACAACACACTAGTGGACAATACTGTCAACAACACACTAGTGGACAATACTGTCAACAACACACTAGTGGACAATACTGTCAACAACACACTAGTGGACAATACTGTCAACAACACACTAGTGGACAATACTGTCAACAACACACTAGTGGACAATACTGTCAACAACACACTAGTGGACAATACTGTCAACACCACACTAGTGGGCAATACTGTCAACACCACACTAGTGGGCAATACTGTCAACACCACACTAGTGGGCAATACTGTCAACACCACACTAGTGGGCAATACTGTCAACACCACACTAGTGGGCAATACTGTCAACACCACACTAGTGGGCAATACTGTCAACACCACACTAGTGGGCAATACTGTCAACACCACACTAGTGGGCAATACTGTCAACACCACACTAGTGGGCAATACTGTCAACACCACACTAGTGGGCAATACTGTCAACACCACACTAGTGGGCAATACTGTCAACACCACACTAGTGGGCAATACTGTCAACACCACACTAGTGGGCAATACTGTCAACACCACACTAGTGGGCAATACTGTCAACACCACACTAGTGGGCAATACTGTCAACACCACACTAGTGGGCAATACTGTCAACACCACACTAGTGGGCAATACTGTCAACACCACACTAGTGGGCAATACTGTCAACACCACACTAGTGGGTCAATACTGTCAACACCACACTAGTGGGCAATACTGTCAACACCACACTAGTGGGCAATACTGTCAACACCACACTAGTGGGCAATACTGTCAACACCACACTAGTGGGCAATACTGTCAACACCACACTAGTGGGCAATACTGTCAACACCACACTAGTGGGCAATACTGTCAACACCACACTAGTGGGCAATACTGTCAACACCACACTAGTGGGCAATACTGTCAACACCACACTAGTGGGCAATACTGTCAACACCACACTAGTGGGCAATACTGTCAACACCACACTAGTGGGCAATACTGTCAACACCACACTAGTGGGCAATACTGTCAACACCACACTAGTGGGCAATACTGTCAACACCACACTAGTGGGCAATACTGACAACACCACACTAGTGGGCAATACTGACAACACCACACTAGTGGGCAATACTGACAACAACACACTAGTGGGCAATACTGACAACAACACACTAGTGGGCAATACTGACAACAACACACTAGTGGGCAATACTGACAACAACACACTAGTGGGCAATACTGTCAACAACACACTAGTGGACAATACTGTCAACAACACACTAGTGGACAATACTGTCAACAACACACTAGTGGACAATACTGTCAACAACACACTAGTGGGCAATACTGTCAACACCACACTAGTGGGCAATACTGTCAACACCACACTAGTGGGCAATACTGTCAACACCACACTAGTGGGCAATACTGTCAACACCACACTAGTGGGCAATACTGTCAACACCACACTAGTGGGCAATACTGTCAACACCACACTAGTGGGCAATACTGTCAACACCACACTAGTGGGCAATACTGTCAACACCACACTAGTGGGCAATACTGTCAACACCACACTAGTGGGCAATACTGTCAACACCACACTAGTGGGCAATACTGTCAACACCACACTAGTGGGCAATACTGTCAACACCACACTAGTGGGCAATACTGTCAACACCACACTAGTGGGCAATACTGTCAACACCACACTAGTGGGCAATACTGTCAACACCACACTAGTGGGCAATACTGACAACACCACACTAGTGGGCAATACTGACAACACCACACTAGTGGGCAATACTGACAACAACACACTAGTGGGCAATACTGACAACAACACACTAGTGGGCAATACTGACAACAACACACTAGTGGGCAATACTGTCAACAACACACTAGTGGACAATACTGTCAACAACACACTAGTGGACAATACTGTCAACAACACACTAGTGGACAATACTGTCAACAACACACTAGTGGACAATACTGTCAACAACACACTAGTGGACAATACTGTCAACACCACACTAGTGGACAATACTGTCAACACCACACTAGTGGACAATACTGTCAACACCACACTAGTGGACAATACTGTCAACACCACACTAGTGGACAATACTGTCAACACCACACTAGTGGGCAATACTGTCAACACCACACTAGTGGGCAATACTGTCAACACCACACTAGTGGGCAATACTGTCAACACCACACTAGTGGGCAATACTGACAACAACACACTAGTGGGCAATACTGACAACAACACACTAGTGGACAATACTGTCAACAACACACTAGTGGACAATACTGTCAACAACACACTAGTGGACAATACTGTCAACAACACACTAGTGGACAATACTGTCAACAACACACTAGTGGGTCAAGCAAAGTGTCGAGTCATATATATATTATATATATATATATATATATATATATATATATATATATATTAATATAATATAATACATATTCATATATATTATAAATAATATATATAATTAATTTTTTTATTTTTTTCCGCAG